AGGAAGGCAGGAATTTTTGTCTGATTTTTTTCAGTGTTACATCCTCTATGCTTAGAACAGCACCTGTCACCTAATAGGTTGTCAATTAATAATAGTAATAATAATGGCTAACGTATACAGAGCATGGAACATGCATTATGTTCTAAATGCTTTACAGGTGCTCATTCATTTAATCTTCACAAAAAACTCATGAGGTAGATACCATTATTACAAAAAGCTACTCGATGAATGAATGCTTGAAGTAGAAGTACTTACGGCTCTGGGGTATAAAGGGGGTCTGAACTGTGTCTCACATATTGTGTGCAGTGAAAAACGCGAAAGGCTAAACCTGATAAGAAGTCCCTTGGTGATAAGTAACCAGCCACAGGACGGATAGAAAAACCCGTGCGCTCTGCAAAGCAAGGGAGAAAATATAGCAAAATCTTCACAAGAACAGACCACTCGCTGTAGCATTTTAACTCATCTAGTGGCACCAATTAACACTTTGAGAGAGGACATGAAAACTAAAATTTACCCTATGTGTACTATGGGGAAGTAATAATTATTAAGCACTTGCCATGGCCAGGCAATGGGTTATACCTTTTACATATCACACCTCCTTTCCTGTTCACAGTATGAGTTAAAGGTTATTTTCTTCATTGTGATAACTATAAAACTGAGGCTCAGAGACTCAACAATGTACCCAAGGCCACACAATGGATGATAAAGGTAGGCTGAGAACCCAGGTCTCCTATACTACACCTTGCTGTCTCCCTGGAGTTTAGAATATCCCCTAGACAATCTTAACTTAAAAACAAACAAAAACTCACTACAAGCTCCATTAATTTAGATCAGAACCATTGTTTAATCTACACCATTTTTAGCCAGTGCTACCTCTTCTAAAGTAGTTTTTTTATTTTACCTAAACTATAGATGGTGCTCTTCCATTCCCAATAGCAGTGACTGCAGGCCCACTGTGAAAGGGGCCTGCCACTAAGCTGCAGTGGCTCAGGGGAATTCTATAAGCTCCAATCTGGCCCTTGGTTTCAAACCTTCACACTCTGGGATTCCAGTGCCACCTAGTTGCTTTGTACTTGGATTCTCTCATTCTGACGGGGAGACTTCATGGTCCCGTAGAACTTTCCACATGGATGGAAATGTTCTATATCTAGGCTACCCAGTAGGGTGGCTACTAGTCAAATGTGCTCTTGAACATTTGAGATGTGACTAGTGTGGCTGGGGAGCTAACATTTCGATGGACATTAATTTTAATTATTTAAACAACCCCACATATCTAGAAGCCACCATAATTGACAGTGCAGGTAGGGCCATCAAACTGATGTTTTGTTTGAACTGTCTTCTAATTTTGGTTTCTCCCTTTGATACTTCCCTTGAAACACCTTTAGCAACATGTCCTGCAGCTAGCTCAGCCCCAGACCCCAGGTGGACAGCGTTCAGTTTGCATCCATTAACAAAATATTTCCTCCAAATCGCATACAAATTTGAGTTGATAACTTCTGTAGCATATGCTTGTCTGTCTTTGTAAGCCCCATGAGATCCGGTGTATGGGTTCTCTGTCATCTGTAACCACTATTTTTAAAAAATCTTTGTAGAAACCACTTACATGATGAGTGCTTCCCTTGTGAAAACAATATTGCCCTTTTCTGTTTAGTTCTTCTTAGTCTTGTGCATAATGGGTTGGGTAATGAGAATTATGGAGTTGAATAGATACGCAGATTTATTTTTATAACAATCTATGTAAGGAATTCAAAGATAGCAATTTCAGACCATGATGGAAATAAACTGCACTCCCTTTGAGTCAAAAGCATAATTTCTCTTTCCCCTAAGTTTCTACTCTACTGAGATCAAAGGGGATATTTCTTTTCCTTACATATTGGAGATGCTGGAGATCACTATACTAGCTAGAAAAAAATAAGGAGGACTGGGTCAAACAAGCATGAAGAACTAACAGGAACAAAACTGTCCTTACCCTTTATGTATGCCTCTACTGGCACATCTCCCACAGGAAAATGATAGAATCTTAATGTGGAAAAGGCTTCAGAGCATCCATCCACTCCAACCTTCCCCAAGGTGCTTGAATCTCCTCTACCACATCCCTGATGAGAGGGGGTGAAGCTTTTGCATGAACACCTCCATGGATGGGGAACTAACCACTTCGTGAGCTTGTTCCGTTTCCATTTTCAAGCTCAAAGTTCGCAGTTTCTACCCTACAGTCCTTTACTTTAGGCCACATACGAGTAATAATCACTCTGTTAGGTAAGATGACCTTCAGATATTTAAATAAAGTTATAATGGCCCCTAAATCTCCAGGTTAAACACCCTAAGAGTATTTCAAATTTTATTCATATAATGCAATTTCCAATCCCCTTAAAATTCTGCTCATTTTCTTCTGCACTTTCTCCAGGTTAGGATTGCCCCTCTTAAAAAACGGTGCCCAGTACAGGATCCAATATTCCAAGGCAGAGTAGGAAAATTCTGACCTCCCATATAACTGGACTTTATTCCTCTATTAAAAATTGTATCATGATCTGCCTTTTTGAGCTTCTTTTGCTTGGCCCGCTCCAAACTCTTTGGAGTGTGATTTCTCTTCTAATAACAGGCCCTTGAGCCATTCTCTACTGCTCAGGTGAGCTTCTATTTCTTTGAAGTGTACTATCTCTTCTAATAAACTGCTTTTTCACCACTTAAAAAAAATCTATCATGATCAAAACAGATTTCAACATTCCAAAACATTAATTAGCCTATTACCTTTTAAAAAGTTTGAAACATCTTCCAACTGTGGGATATTATCTTCCCGATATCCACAATATTTAGAAAGCAAAGGTAAGTTTCTGAGATACTCTCTGCAGGCATGGGTTGGGTAAAGTTTGTTGAGCTCTCGGAACACGGTTCCCCAGGTCTTAATTTCCTCTTCAGTGAATTCGACCTTAGGAATGGGATCTCCACTAGTGAAATACAAGGAAGAAGCTATTTTAAATTAACATTCAACTAACAGTAGCACTTATCTTATTCTCTATTTACTAAATGAGCATAATTTACTCCATTATTTATTTTATTATTTTAAAGTTAAATAAGGTATTTTTTTAATACACTTACTGTTTATAGTTCATAGCCAAGTCTGCAAAATATTTCCGTCTTTTACGGTAGACATTGTCTTTGAAGCCCTGATAATTAAAGAAAAGTTTTTAAGTATGCATATAAAAATACACTTGACAAATGATATTTGGAAAATATTTTTATTATTACCCAAGCTATTATATTATAGAGCTACATAACTATTATTTTGAGCAGGCATTGTTTAGAAACTTATGATAATTTTTAAAGTCAATGTTATATGACAGCTTTATATATACTACAGTGGCTACAAAGATAAAAGATACTATGGATATAAACATACAAAAATACTAGCTACAATAGTAGCTACAAAAATAAAATCGTTTGAAGAATAATAAAAGCACTACCCTAGTTAAAGACAGGCTCTTTACCAAAAGTGAGGGGGTTTTTTTCTTAATCATTTGACTGATCTTTTCAGCTAGACATGTTTGCTCTCTTGTATATATCTTAAGCAATTTGTTCATGCCAATTAGCACACTTTTCACATTTTAATCTCATATATATGTGTTTATTTATATACGTGTGCTTCACCTTTTTCAACTAGACTGTAAGCTCCCTGAGGGCAGGTATAGCAATTTATAAATTCCAAGAGTTAGTAAGATATTATAGAATAAATGGACGGGTTGGCTGGGGGCTGTCTAAGGCAGTGTAAGGGCACATTCACAAAGCTAATAAGTGGTAGACTCTAGATTGAAGGTCAGGTCTATGAGACTTCACAATTGCACTCGCTTCTCTCCTCCCCTCCCAGGACCCTAGAGCTCCACAAGCAACCTTAATGCTCTGGATTTACTAATTCTCCAATTGCATGCCTGTACTGTATCCTACGTAATTTCCCAAGGAAGCAGCTTCCTAGTTCATCAACTGCCTAATAAACCAATTATGCTGGGCAGCATGGGTGATAAGTCTTTCTCCATCCTATCTTTACTCCCCCTTCCAATAACCCATGCTCATTTTAATAAAAACTGACCACAGATTCTGTCTTTATTGTAGTATAACTCTTCGAATAAATAGTTCATAATAATAGGAATGCCAGGCATATGACAGATGCTTTGGAGCCAATAAAGTTAAATGTTCTTCAGGAAGATAGTTTCAATTCCACCATCATGGAAGTCTACTAAACTTCCTGAAATCCAAATTACAACAAGATCTTATTTAGTCTAGAACATCTCTTTCTCCAAAAAAGAAAAAAAAATGCCCTTAATTTTTAGTTTGCTTTAAATAATTTTCAGGAAAATATTTACTAAAAATATTTACAGGATGGTCTGCATCCAGCTCAGATCCATACATCAAAACTCTGTTGGCACAATGGTCTAGGTCAGAAATCTTCTTTGGAAACCAAGGAACAATTTCCATACCTGCAAAATATAAAAACCACTAACAGTTGAAGAGATGATCTTAAATAAGGCAATAAGGAAGAAGAAATTAAGAAAGTCATAAATGCATTTAGATGAGATTTTTAACTTTAGCTCATACATTGAGGCAAAATTTATAACAAGTAAACTGCTCTATTTCTAATAAGCAAATTTCACTCGAAATTTTTGATGACCCCTTAATGATTTTTATGAGCCTTGATTTCCTAAGTGTTGGAAAAATTCTGTACTTTGCTAATAGACCAAAAGTTCAAAAAAATTGTTTTACACTATATATTTAACTACCCTAAAAACAAAACAAAACAGAATAGGGATATACAACTTCACAGACCAAGGTGCAAATGCAATAAGAACTTTGAATGTTTATTTTTGTTGATGAAAAGAATCTTAGAGATCATTTATGTCTTTACCTCTTTGATCTTCTCACCATCCCCCAGTTACAGAGTCGCTCATAAGACTCTGGGTTTTTGCATATGCTGTTCTTCTGCCTGTAATACCTATCCCACTCCCACTTTCTGCTCCACCCCATCCTTGTGTTTTCCTGAGAATATCCTTCTCCTCCCTCAAGGCCCAAATCAAACAAGCCTTCCCTGACTCTGTAGATGGAACTGATTCTCTGTCCTCAGGGTTCCTGTGACATCATGTTTCTCATTTTCTAAAAGCTTTTACTGTTTCACTATAATGTATCTGTGTATGTCTGTCTTACAGGAAAGAAGGGGAATGACTCTAGGGTAGGGACTACATATTTTTGTATTCCCGTTTCTTAGTAGAAATATCCGACACAAGTTGTGTTCCCTAGATTATCAACTGAACCATATAGCCTCTATAAAACTCTGCATTTTATAGAAGAGGTAACCAAAGTCCAGAAAGGTAAAGTAATTTATTCAAGGTCATCCCTCCCTAATGGAAGAAAGAGGACGAAACTTAATCCTTCGTACTTCAGTCTAATGCTCTTTCTGACATACCCAGAAGTGATATTCAAGAGACTTAACAACAAATACAAAAGCGGCACCAATCACATCACTCAAAATGAACACAAGCAGTCCTAGGCTCCTGCTCTGCCAGGTGTTAACCCTGCAGCAATTTGTGGCAGGCATGGGACTCCTAAGAAAGCACCTGGAGCACACGGGCTTCAGGCATGGTGGGGAGCACTCAAGGGACTCAGGGAAGCAGCTATCTGCCAACCAGAAATGGAAGTATATCAATATTTTAATAACTTATACAGCCATACAAATATATAACAGATGAATATCAGCCCTGATCACACCCCAAATATTGTGACATAGTTTGAAGGGATTATTTTAAATTCAGCATCATCTATAAAACGTGGCTGAATTATCCATTTCTCTTTTGCTCCAAGTAAACCACAGGGTTTTTTCACAATAGAAGATCTTAGCCTATGTCTTTGCTATCTGATTATCTGAAACCTAAGAAGGCTTTGCTGCTTTTCATTTGCTTTTGGTGGAAGTGGGGACAGGAAGGAATGTTGCACATAGTGTATTTCACATCATAGCAGTCAGCAACTGTCGACATTCTCAACAAATTCAAATAGTCACTTAATATGTACTAAATTCTAAGCCCTGTGAGAGTTGCTAAGGGCTCAGTGATTGTGAACTGGATGTTTGTGAAACCAAGAAATGCTTGATGATTTGGAAATTGAGACAACTTAATCGATTTCTAACTATTCTGAATTCTTTGGTATACGCATGGCTTCCTTTTCGCTTCTCTCACACTTGATAAAGTGTTGCCTTATTATTTTTCTTGAGAATTTGAAGCAATTATATTTTGTGTTCGCTTCATTACCAGACTGTAAGCAACTTGAAGACACTGTTTTATTTTTACTTTCATCCTTTAGGATAAATGTAAGACTGGACACATATTATGTACTTAATCTTTTGGGTAGTATTTTCACGTTTCAAACTTACCATCTTCCTTCATGGTAAAATTATCGGGTGGATTCACAGAGAGAACATTAGTATGAGACTTCAACAAATGAAAAATATCATTCAATTGTTCTCTGTTGATATCACAGTCAACAAAAAACTCAAATTCTGAGTTTCTTCTCTTTGATTTTCGGGACTCGATATGTAACAGGTTCACATGCTTCTCCTGTGTGAAGCAAAGGGTGAAGGTTACAGATGACTGCCTCAAATGGTAATAGTCTCTGAGTAGATAGCTTTTGCTACCACTGAAAATCAATTTCACACTTGTCATACTAGCCAAAGGGAGAAACGGCTGTTTTTAGTGCTGTCAACAGCAAAATAATTCCCCCTAAATATTAGGTACTATTCCAATAATTTTGAAAAATTCATCACACCCTCCAGAAGCTAATAACACCCACTAGAAATCCCCCAGATTGCCAGAAATGACTGGCCTTCAAACCAAAATACCAAGTCTCCTAGATAAAAAGAACCTTTTGAAAATTCTCACCAAGAAGAAGCTAGTTTTCAAAGAGTGATAATAGTGTTAGTCCTTTAGAAAGAAAAGTTTTCTTTGCAAAAATGCATTTAATAAAATTACAGGAACAGCTTGAGCACAGAGCATCTACTACCTCAAATCTCTTAAACTACAAGCTTAGTAACCGGCTGAACCCGATTGCTTCTTCTGATCTCTTCATGCCAGCCTGAGCTGTGGGTACCACACGTATAAACCTGTAGAAAGAGGGCATCTTCTCTTACCAATTTGGGGAGCTGAGGAAAACACTAGCATAATAATGAAACATAAGAGCCAGTCAGCCAGCAGTGTTTCATCTAACAATTGAGAAGGCTAGAATACATGGTCTACAGTACCAACCAGTTCCATCTAAATGAACTTCGTGAACACCTGTGTAGCCAGGTAAAGGCTGTGAAGCATACAAAGAAGGGTAAGACACACAAGGGTTTATAATCTAGCTTTCTAACACATGCAAGACTAAGAGAAAATACAAGTAGTGGGTGTTCAGGTGCAGAAGACGGTCAGCGAAGGGAAAACACATCATGAATTAGACAGAGGAGAAGTTTCCATGGAGCAGATAGAAACTGAAATGAGTCTAGGTTAGGTCCCCTGGTTCTGTACTATCATAGTACCTGGTACTTCTCTTTCAGGTCACTTTACACACATGTAATTATTTACTTGTTATCATTATTTGTTTAGGGTCTGTGCTCCCCACGAGCTTATACACATTGTGAGGGCACTCGCTGTGTTTATTTTGTTCGGGTTCACATCCTTAGTATCTGGCAGGACACCTGGCACATAGTAAATACTCAATAAATATTCGTGTTCTGCCTCCCTGACCCCTATCTCCTGAAGATAGCATTATGAAAGTGGAATTACTGGGTGAAAAAGCATGAACATTTTAAGGCTCATAATACTTATTACCAGATTGTTTCCCTATACATTACACCAATTTACCCTCATACCAAAGCTGTATATTGAAGTGTCAAATGCATTTAAGCTTTGACAATAGGGAACAGTATAATTATAAAATCTTTGTTATTTTGCTATATAAAATATCATTAGCTATATTAATATCATTCTAAAAAAATCATTAAAATTTTAATATTTTATTTAATTGAAATAAAATTAAAACTTGCTTCTCTGAAATCTATTATGTGGATCTTTCTTCCCTCATTTCTTTCATTTTTTTTAAATTTTATTGGGGAACAGTGCGTTTTTCCAGGACCCATCAGCTCCAAGTCAAGTAGTTGTTTCAATCTAGTTGTGGAAGGAGCATCTCACTGGCCCATAAAATGGGGATCAAACCGGCAACCTTGGTGTTATGAGCCTGCGCTCTAACCAACTGAGCTAACCGACCGCCCCCCACCCCATTTCTTTATTAGCTATTTGTTGCTCCTCTTCTGTAAAATGTTTGTATCCCTTGCCCATTTGTCAGAATTGGGCAATATTCTAGAAATTTAAGTGCTTCAAGAAATGTCTGTAGTCTATCTTGGAAGAATTTCCAATAACCTATATTTTAAACACAATTTTAGAGACTTGTTTTAGTAGAGTCTATGTAGAAATATGGAGAGTACTTACCTGGAAGATTTTCAGTGCTTTTATGAGTCCTCCAACTTCATTCTTTAAGGAAAAAATGAGCGTTGCCCTTCCCCTTTCTAAGGAATGCTCTTTGTTTTCCTTATTGTCTTCAATCATGATGAATTTGGTGTACTTCTCTAAAAATTAAGCACGAAAATAAGAAAAGGTCTGAAAAAGAAGTTGTGCAATGCAGACAATACTTGATAATATTTGAAACTGAGACAATATTTTATAACACTAACCAAACTTTAGTTTCCTCACCTGTAAAACAGGAATGTGCAGATCTGCTTTGCAAGACTGTCATGAGACCAAACTAAGATACAGCATTGCCTCCATACTGCGTAGAATGTAATAGGTATACTATACCTGTTAGTAGTCACCTTTTTGGTTTTTTTCTAATCCGATCCTTCTTTATGGCATGAGTCAAGCCCACTAGCTTCTTGCAGTCTTCCTGACTATTGTGGCCTGAACTGGGAGCTCGTCCTCTATGAAAGCCTACCTCCTCTCCCCGACCATTTTAGCACTTTATGATAGTGGGTCTTGAATGGCTTTCCCAAATGTTTTATTCATGCATGTCTTGTCTTCTAACAAGACAGCAAGTTTCTTCGGTTCAGGGACAAGGCTCTCTACTTCTTTTGTACATTCACAAGCCTAGGTAGCTCTAGGTACGTGGATTAGAAGGATAACTACTAGCTGAGAGAATTCTGGCTCCATATAAGTATCTCCTTTGCTCTCTGCCTGTAAAATCCCTTAGGCCATGGGCCCCAGAGCCTTTTCAATATTGGCCTACAAGTGCTATATGATTATAAAGCCAAGTGTGTGTGTGTGTGTGTGTGTGTGTGTGTGTGTGTGTGTTGGAGGAGGTGAGGCTGTTGTGAAAGACAAAATTAGGGCAAAATAACTTTGTATTGATGACATTCAATTGAGAAATACATACTTGAGAAATAAGATTTGAATTAATAAATGGAAACAGCATATTGAGGATTTATTCTTATTAGTTTCCTTTGGTTATTAATTCTTTCTAATTGCCTTTCATGTTCTAGTTCTAGTGGAATTAACCTTTAACAATTTAAATTGATGTAACTGATCCCACTGTCTTTCACCGGCTCTCACTCACCGATCCAAGGCTGTGGCATGACCACTGAGAGCAGACATAGTGGTGATGCTGTGGGCTTGAAGCCAGATACACTGTGTTCAATCCCCCAGCCCAAACTTCACATGGGAGCCTTCCCCGACCTCCCCAAGTCAACTCCCCTTAGTGTTGATTATCAGTCACTGCACCATATGCCTGTCATTCATAACAACAGTAACATGGGCAGTTGTAGCTCTGTTTCGGTGAGTATGTGGTTAGGTGTGTCTCTCCAGCTAGGCTGTGAGCTCTGAAGGAGTAGAGATCATGTATGCTTTTAGTCACCATTGTATCTGCAGCTCCTCGCACAGTCCCTGCACACAATAGGCAATAGATAGATGTCATTAAATGAATAAAGGAATGAAACATTGATTAGAGACATGGTCCCCACCCTCAGGGAACTGAAAGTCTGGTAGAGAAAGAATGGCAATGCAGATAAGCATTGTAACCGAGAACACAGATGGCACAATGATGGCAGTAACTAGAGTACTCTGTTACATGTGTAGAGATGTTTCGTTGAAGAAGATGTGCTTGAACTGGATCTTAAAGAAGTGGGGGGGAGTAGAGGAAGCAGTAGATGAGAAGGTAAAAGACAAAAGATGAGGAGGTGACCAATCAATACAGAGCAGTGAGAAATCATGCAGGCAAGGTAAGTGGGGCCAGATCCTTCAAAAGGCTCTGTGCAGGGAATGCAGGGGAGTTTGATCTTCTATGACCATCCAAATATCCTTCTAAGGACCATGGCCTGTCTGATTGAAGGCCGAAGAGAAAAGGAAGGATGAGGTAGTTTTCCACTAAGCTATAGTCCTGGCTTTCAAATGCTTTTCTATAGGATGATGCAAAATGAGAGGCTTCATGCATTTCTGTCTTTCTGACTAGGGAGCTGTTGAGAGTTTCCTCTTTCCTTTTTCTTAACCCATACTGTGTAACATTTTAGGGCTCCTTGTAAGAGGCAGCCCAATAGGCCCATCTGGCTTAGAGGATATAAACTACCAAATATGGCTCAGTAATTTTCAATTGTATTGTCATAAACAATAGTCTGCTACTAAACTTGCCAATGGAATACAATTTTCTGTTTCAGAACACAGTTTTTATGATACCTTTGGAATTTAGTTTAACAAATATGTATCAGGTACATACGAAGTTGAAGGACTTCTAAACGTAAGTTCAGAGAGTATGTAGATAAGAAAGAAATTCTCCACTCTATGATGGCAAGAGTCCACCCATTCTTAGCAACCCAAGAGGTAGGTAAGGGAACTGACATTTGTCAAATGGCTATAAAAATCATGCATTAATATTACCCCATCTACGTCTCATAAAACCTTGGTGTGAGGAAATAGGAATTGCACCCATTTTATAAGTGAAAAATTGAAGCTTAGAAAAACTAACCTGCCCATGGTCACACAGCTAGAGAATGTGAGAACAGATATTTAAAACTGTGTTTTTGAAAATGTGAAAGTTAACATATGGATCTGATTTCACCGGATTACCCTAAATATGTTCAGAGACACAGAAGGCAGAACAGAATTCATGTCATCTAGTCGAAAGCTGTCTTCTTGGAAGATGAACTAGATACCTACTTTGACATCTTCTCAACCACCTGTTTACACTGCAAAACAGTGTAAGGAAATATCTGGAATGTAAAGTCAGACATATCTAATCACTGATCTGATGTTTATCAGTATGATCTTGGGTGTGCTACGTAACCTTTCTAATATACAAAGTTAATTGTCAATTTTTTTCTACAACTGAAACAATCTCTATGTCAATGCTTTAAAACCAAGTGACCAGTTAAACTTAATAATAATGTAGACTTTTCTGTGATTCAAATTATCACTAATGGTAAAATAAATGAAATTCCAACTCAAGCACAGTCACGTGTACAAAGTACCATAGCCAGTGTTAGGGCAGTAAAGTTTAAAAAACAAAGACGACAATTTGCCTCGAAGGAATTCACAGACTTATGTATGAAGGAGGGGGAAGAGGAAAAACAGACTTTCCAGTAAGTACAAATAGGGGAATGGGACCCTGAGATCCCAGCTATGACATCTGAGGAGCATACCCAAACCCCCAACTTCCCCACCCCATAACCAATATCCCATGAGACTCTAAAGATGATTGGAGGTGGCTTCTGGCCCATCCATAAGTCTCTAATCAGAAAGAATTTATAGATGAGAAGCAAGGGATCCAAAGAGAGATTACCAGCTCCAACATAATTGACCATTTCTTAATGTAAACTTAAGTATACACAGGAAATTCTGAACTGATGCTTGGGGGCTAAAAATTCAGGCATGGTATCAGACATGCATTCTCAAAATGCTTTTAGAGATGTGAAAACCTTGGGAAACATTTCTTTTCTGTCTATCACTCAAAGATCATGGACTTTTTTTTTCATACAGAGTATGGGTGGCTTTGTCCTATAGTATCAGATGCAAATAATAAAAGAGATGTAAAATAATATAGCAAATTGCCAGCAATAAATTTATCTACAAATCCATCTAGGTAAGCTATAATTTCTATGTGCATCAATTTCCTTATTTGCAAAATTAAAGGGAGGACAATGAGCACCAATAGCATGGTTATAAAAAAGATTAAATACACATAAAATATATAAAAGCCTTAGAACAGTTGCTGACCTACACAAAGTAATTAATATTAGCTCTAATATTGCAATGTGTAAATCCCAAATTTCCCAGTCTTCAAAAAAAGAGAAAATGTCAAATGTGATGATATTGACATTTTAAACTCCTCTCACTAAGAATTTTTCTTGCCCTGGAAATTAAGCATTTTATAAGATGGTTATAAACCTATTTCTTATAGTACCAAGCACATGAAAATGTTGTTTTATAATATAAAATGTAAATATTCTTTTGTCTTAAGGTGATTCTCAGTTCCATTGGTTTATTTATTATGAAATCCCTAAATAATATTAAGTTGCAAATCTGAAGTGAATAATTTGGCAGTTATTTTGCAAACAAACAGATAAAGACCCCAAAGAACAATTACTGTGTCAGCCAATATTTATTGAGTTCTCATTTTCCCTGATATTGTCACTGTGGCAGGCTGAAGAAAGGGGGTTCTGCAAATATAAGCTACTTCCCGGTCCACCACTATTTTCATAATATAAGTAAACTTTAACAACTGGGAGCAAAAATCAGAGAACAGTAAAGAAAAGTGATTTTTGCCAGTCAGTGGTAACAGTGACAGTTTCAGATCTCCTGATAGTTCATCCTTCAACAATCTCTCAGAGCTTAGAATGCATCTCTTCATATAAAACTATATACAGATTTCCTTTCACATTTCAAAACTGGCCCTTAAGCTCCCCTGGCAGAAGCCATTGTGAGAAGGTACTAACACTCACGGCTGGTCTAAGTCCATCCCTTTGCAGTTCATGATTCTCTCTTCCCCAGGTGCTGGGATGAATGTAGTTTTGCCACCAACATCTCCTTAGTGGGTGGGGGCAGAGGCAGGTGAAGAATACGTTAAGTGAATATTTATGATATGCAAGGCATTTCATATTGAGATTTGGAAAGGTTCCTATCTCTCTTGTTTAAGTCAATATAAAAATGAAGTTCTCAAAACTAAATTTTGCTAAAAAACCAGAAGAAAATAATTCTTCTCTCTCCTCACTCCCACCTCCAAAATAAGCTTCTAGAGCTTTGATCTTTATTAAAATTTGGCCATAACTCTACCTGGATGACAGAGCTTATGAGGCATCAGTTCTTTTTTCCTTTATTCAACTACCCCCACACCCCCTTTGAGAGCCTCCCTATTTTCCCTTGTCACTTTTTATCCATCGCCCTTCAAACCTGCCTCCCTGCTCCTACTCCTTCAGGGGTAAACCCCACAGTACTAGCCTGGTAAGATAAAAAGTTTGAATACATGTCTCATCAAGAAGCATATATTTTCTTCTTAAAGCATCACTCTAATAGGTCAATGCCAATGGTACTTCCCTTTTCCTGAGAAAGGCAGCTCTGGCTGTTCTGCTGCATTTCCTGGCCTGACTAAAGATGCCCTGGTGTGCAGGGTATGCCATTGGAAACAAGGAAGACATACCAAGAAGGAGGTCAAAAGATCAGCAGCCCCTTGGTAGAGGAGAGGTCAAGGTGTATACATTGACTAACACGATTCTCCCCTTCATCAGTACCAAGTATAATTTAAATGTATCTGACCTAGGAAGCACAAAGCACTATCACATCAGAGTATTTTGAAAGGATGCTGTTTGAAAACAGAGCTAAAAGCTGTGGGAGGACTGGTGTGGAAGGAGAGACTTCTCCAGAGAAGCTTGATTTTCTTTTCTAAATGGGGGGAGGGAATGAGAATGAACATGAAGATGAAATACAAAAGAAAACACTGCCCATGAAAAACATTATTCAAAGATATAAAGGCACTGGTAAAGAAAATTGAAATAGAAGATATATCCGTACCTGAAGATAATCTAATATAATCATTACACATGTGCAAACGAACTCCCATGGTAAGATTCATAAACCACAGATGATAGCTTGACAGAAACATTTATAGCTACTTTAAGCCATGCTAGCATTTACTTTTAAACCAAATAAGTGAATTCCATCCTTCTTTGAGAATAAATTGACAGGCACAAGCTTTTACTGGGTCAGAAAGTTCAATTCTAGTCTTTTTTCTCCCCCAAGTCAACGAGAGTAGAGCATCAATGGGGAGTTCATTTTAAACCTCTGAAAACCAAATGGTCAGAGGCAAGGTGAAGCTTACCTAGACTGTTAACTGGATCTGAACAACTAGGCTCTTTGCCTGTGTCAACTGTAACCTTGCAGTCAAGCTCTTCGTCCTGTGTTGGGGTGGAGGCGAAGAGGGTAGGTGTGGATGCTGAGAGGCTTTGCATCTGAGACTCCCTTTTCTTCGCGGGTGTCTAAGGGAGGGTTCCCTTTATGGGAGGAGAAGGTAAAAAAGAGAGTTGCCATTTGACAGAGAGGAAGGGAAGGAAGAAGGGTGTGTCTCTGCTAACATACAGGCGTCACAACAGACTTGGGTAGGACTCTGAGCCTCAGTTTCCTCATCTGTAAAATGCAAGAGAAATCTACTTGACAGGGTTTGTTAAGGTGAAATCTGATGAGTGTAAAGAGGTTGTTTCCGGCACAAAGAAGGTGGTCAAAAATAGTGCCTTTTCTCCCCAAAGGGGGTAGGAGGGAAGAAGAGTGACAACAAGGGTACAACGCCGACTTCCCAGACCCCGTTCCCCATGAGCATTTACCTCCCGGGAAGGTAGCACTGCCCCCACCCCGTTAGCCCAGAGCCCCCATATCCGCGAGGGTGGTCCCTAGTTCCGGCGGGAAGGGGCCACCCTACTCACCTTCGGCGCCGCTGATGGTGAACTGGACCAGCCCGCGCGGGCCGGCGCAGTCAGCCTTTTCTAGTAGCGGGAGTCAGAGCGGGCCAATGGGCGCCCGAGGCTGCCGGGCAGTGGCCAATGAGAAGGGGGTTCGCCTGCAGGGCGGGGGAGCCTGGGACGGAGCTGACCTCCGCTGGGTGCTGACGGTCCGCGCCAGCCGGCGCCGAGATTCACATCACGAGTGTTAGCCTTTACGTGTTTCTGGCTGGTGTTTTAATTAAGCTGTTAAGCCATCCTTAACTACAGAAGTCTGACTAATATCCAGAGTTGGAAATTCCCTCCAAACCAAGATCACATGTATTTATCAGCATAATGACCTCCTATAGGCTTGTACTGCGTCTCCCGGTTGGCCACTCAAGCAGGAATCCCCCCTCCCCACCTTTATCTCTGTGCTTCTAGGTTGATAGTCCAGCCCTGCCTCATCATCCTCTTGGTGCCTTCCCCTTTTCCTTGAGGGAGAGCATTTGTTGAACTTTTTAGAAGGTCAGTGCTTAGTACCCTTCCAATAAAGCAAGTTTGTTGTTTTTTTTTTTTTTTGGAAGTTCATTTTATTACAACTTTTTACTCTTAATCTGAGTCTAGAAATGTACAGTGTCAAAATGGAATTTTATCAAAGAACACTAAATTTTTGAAGTTGCTCCCCACTCTATTATATACATGATAGCAACCCATATTTTATTTCCAATTTAAACAATTAGTAAATTCACTGGGATCTGTATTATTGTTCACAGTATGTAAAATATGCAAATCAACTTATTTTGCTAAGTAAGAAAATCCATTTCAAACATTTTTAAAACTCAAAAACCACACACCAATTACATATTTTATCATTTTATTAGGAATAATTCCAAATGGGTGATGAAGAAAACTTATCCATTTGAGTTTGATGAGTTTTCCAAAAACTCTGAATGAAGATATATGTTCACCAATAAACAATAAAACATCAGCAGAACTATCATATACTGGGCAAAGAGTCAGGCTGATACCAAAAGCAACATGCAACATAAAAAAGATACAATATAAAGAAAGACAATCTGCTGGATATTAAAAACAATTATCTCAATACGAACTCTTTGCAACCAGCACAGAACTAATTAGCTATCGAATCCAAACCACACCAAGGTAATCTTGGCTGATGAAGCCAGGAGTCAACAATGAGGGAAAAATAAGTTCCTCAGTGCAAGAGATCTGAATAGTGTTTTGGAGCATTTCCATGGCTGGTACAAGCAGTATTAGAAAATCTTTTTGGCAAGGGAGAAAAATAAATACAAATGGAATGCTACATCTTTTTAAATCAGCAGACTGTCCCAGGAATGATAAAGATTATCAGTAAAGTAGCAAGAGGATAACTTTAAAACATTATTTGTTGAGGGCTCAAAAAACATTCAAAACGGATTTATTTAAAGGTATCACAATAGCTATGTTCAGGCATTTAGGCTTAAGGGAAGTAAAATTAAAAGAGGACACTTTTTTCCCAAGTTAAGGAGAATTTCTTTAAAACCAAACATATTGCTAAATTGCAACATTATGCTTGGTAAACAATAATTGGCAACAAAATAAGTTTAAAGGCTGTAATATTCTACCCAAACCAGTCCCAGATACTGTTTAATAACCAAGATGCAAACTAATTTTGTTGTAACAAGTCTAGACCAATTCTATCCAACATGTCCTTCGTTAGATGTCCAATTTCCTTTAACGTTTTGAAAGCTCATTTGACAGCCAGTCAAGTCCCTCATACAGACCAGTTCCTTGTGTAGCACAAGTGGCTTGAACATACCATGTTCTGTTACGAAGAGACTGAAGACCTAATTTATCTGTCATTTCACTGATGGCCATAGCATTTGGCAAATCCTGCTTGTTTGCAAAAAGCAGCAACACTGCATCTTGCAACTCATCTTCCTTAAGCATGTTCTGCAGCACGTCAGCTCCTTCTTGAATTCTTTCACGATCGTTGCTATCTACCACAAAAATAAGACCCTGTGTATTTTGGAAGTAATGCCTCCAGAGAGGCCTTATTTTGTCTTGACCACCAACATCCCATACTGTAAAACAAATGTTCTTATATTCTACTGTTTCCACATTAAAACCAATGGTAGGAATGGTGGTGACTATCTCTCCTAACTTCAGTTTATACAGAATGGTCGTCTTGCCAGCAGCATCCAATCCAACCATCAAAATGCGCATCTGCTTCTTGCCGAAGAGGCGGGAGAAGAGGGAGGAGATGGTGAGGCCCATGGCGGTAGTGGCACTTGCGATGGGCTGAGGTTTGGAGTCCTCCGGCCTTCTCCTTTCACGCTCCCGGCAAACTGAGCAAGAAGAGGAGCTAAGGAAGACGGCGGCAGGAACGGCTCGCTACCCGGCGTGTCAGACGAAGCACCAGCTAAAGTACTAGCGGGGCGCGGACCTGCTCGACGACTGGCGCGGCCGCTCCGGCTCTAGTGTTAAGGCTTCGACTGTGCCACGTCACGCGGCAGCCACGGCCTAAAGCAAGTTTTAAGCTGCAAGCAGGTGAGCATGCTGTATTAGCAGAAAACCATGTCACATGCTATATGAACAACATGGCCCAGAAGTAAAACATTTGGACTAGGTTATCTATTGATTGAATGCTCAGTCCATTAGATCCTGTCCCCAAGGACTGTATATGTAACACATTATATTGTAGGGCACATTTCCTTCAATGTTTTAAAAGTCAAGTTTATTGATGTATAACTTACAGTAAAATTCACCCTTTTGAGATGAACAGTTCTGTGAGTTTTGACAAACATATACCATTGTGTAGCCACCAATCGCAATATGGAACATTCTGACCCCCTCAGCAACTCTCCCTTGTCTCAGTCCTCTGCCCCTACACCCAGCCCCTGGCAACAACTGGTGTTAATAATGTCCTTCTAATTTTGCCTTTCTCAGAATGTCATATAAACGGAATCATATGGCATCTACAGGTTTTTTACTCCTAGCACTTAATATAAGGCTTTTGAGCTTCATCCATTTTGTTGCCTGTATCAGTAATTTGTTCCTTTTCATTGCTGAGTATGGATGTGCTTTAAAATGCAGGACATTTACAGCTTTTGCATGCATTTTTCTTTTATCTGCATAATTCTATGAGGTAAACACTACCCTTGCTTTACAGATAAGGAAATTCAGGCACAGGGAGGTTCAATGACCCTCTTCTGGCACAGAGTAGTAAGCAGAATCAAGAATCGAGCAAAAGCATTCTGACTTTAAATCTGGTGTTCTTACTGAAATACCATGAAAAACTCTGTCCAGGTAGAGACCTTTCTGAACCAATAAAAAGTCAAAGATGGCTTTCCTAAAGTTGGGTCTACGAGAGGGCTTGAACTACCTCTGTTAAAGAAGAGAGACAGGGCAAGTCGTTCAGTGAGCCCATCCCCAAGATCAGAATAGGTTGGGTGCTGACCCTGGGATGGAGAAGCCTGAGTAGTTGATGTCACTGAAGCCCGTTTAGGTCACCTTGAAGGACTGAGCAAAAAAGGAACCTTCTCTGAGCCTCTCTGAACATACCCAGACACCAAAATCATGGGGACTCCAGGCATCTGGACTTTATCACTTTGCTGGCAGAATTCTAAGATGACCCTGACTGTCCCCAAAACACTTCCAGCATTGTGCCTGGAATTTCACCAATTAGGAATTTTCACTGGGCTAAATTATGCAATTTGAAACTTTACATAGCCTGACAAGCTTCAGAAAAAGGACTATCAGGACTATTAGGACTATATTGGCCTAATTAAGGGGTGTTTAATTGGCTTCCTATTACTGCTGTAATGAATTACCACAAATGTAGTGTTTTAAAACAACATAAACTTATTATCTTATAGTTCTGGAGGTGAGAAGTCTGACATGGGTTCACTGGTCTAAAATCAGGGGGTCACCAGGGCTGTGTTCCTTTGGAAGCTCCAGGGAGAACCTGTTCTTTTGCCTTTTCCAGCAGCTTCTAGGGGCCACCTGCATGGTAACGACCCCTTTGTCCATCTTCAGAGCAAGCAATGCAGCATCTTCAAATGTCTGACTCTCCTGCTTCTTCTATCACATGTAAGGACCTTTGTGATTACTCTGTGCCTACCAGGTCATCCAAGATAATCTCCCCATCTCAAAATCCCTAATCACATTTGCAAAGCCCCTTTTGCCATGTAAGATAACATCTTCACAGTTTCCAGAGATTAGGACATGGACATCTTTGTACCAAACTTAGCAGGTTTCAGTGGTCTGCAGGTGGGAAATGGCCTTTCTTCTTATCATCTTGATCTGTGGAATCTATGCAAAGGAATTTTCTGACCCTGAGATGTGACTTTTGAGGTATTAAAAGTGCTGGCTCCATGGATGGTAAAGAAGGACACCTCACTTAGCTCCCTGGATCTTCAGCAGAACATATTTGAGGGGAGACACGTCCCAATCTTGTTTTTCACTTGTTCAGATGGCTTGGTGGTACCTTTGAATTGGTCCTCCCTGATTTTTCCCCGTTCCTCCTTCTCTTCCCTGCACACATCCAGGGTTCCTCTGGACAAGGACCTAGGCTCTCCTCTCCTCTCAGTCTCTACCCTTTTCCTCGTCAACGACATCCTCTCTCGTGTCATTAAGTTCCCTTCACATGCTAACAATCCAAATGTATACTTCAAGCCCAAATCTCCCTTCTGAACTCCGGGCCTTATATCCAATAACTTATTTTATATCTCCACTTCCATGAAACATTAGCATGTTCACATATCCAAATGTGAACTTGGGGAAATAACAAGCATTGGTGGGGATGTGGAGAAATTTGAATCCTTGTACATTGCTGGTGGGGATGGAAAATGGAAAACGATTTGGCAGTTCCTCAAAAAGTTAAACAGAAAATTAACATATTTCCCAGCAATTCCACTCCTAGATATATACCCCAAAGAACTGAAAGCAGGTACTCTAACAAATCCTTATACACACATGTTCACAGCAGCAATAATCACAATAGCTGAAAGGTGGGAACAATCCAAATGTCCATCTATG